TAGTAAATAAAAATATTTTGTTTAGGTGAGTGCATTCCCTACAAGCGAATTACCTACAGATTTTACTCGTAGATAATAAGCGTTTTTTTTAGTGTATAGATGAAGCTTAAACGCATATATTGAATAAAATCAAACATCACAAAACTCAAATCACATGATAACATTCAAAATGAAGAGTGACAATGACGGTAGCTGTAGCAGCTTGACCTAGGTTTTACTTGGAAATGAGAAAAGAATTTCTGAAGAAGAAGGGAAAAGATTAATTAGATTTTTTATTAAAAGAATTATAAAAAAAAATTAGTATCTCTCAATATAATAATTTTTATTTCTTATAAAGACTAGTTTCTAAAAAAATTATAAAAAAAATTATTTATAAAATTTTCTATTAATTTAAATATTATTAAATACTTCTAACAAATTTAAATTTATAAAAAAACTTACAAAAAATAATTTTAAATATTTATCAATTTTTTTAGATATTTAAAAAAATGATAATTATTTCCAAATAATTTATTTTAGATAAAAAAATAATTTATATATATATATATAATTATATATTTATAACAAATTTGATAAAAATAATTTTTTAAGAAAATATTATAATTATTTGTTGATATTTTTTCAAAAAGATCAAAAATTATTTTTTATAATTATATATTTTTAAAAAAATTTACGAGTATTTTTTTAAATAATTTTTTATAAAATTAAAATAATTTATTATTTATTTTTTGAATAATTATTATTTATTTACATACGGATATATTCATCCGAAAGAACAAATTTCTTAAAAATCAGTCATCACTCACTTTATGCTTCCAAATGTTCTGCCTTTGGCATCTCTGTCACGTATAAATAAATAAATAAATAAATTAGAATTTGTTAAAAATAAATAAATAAATAAATCTGCACTACAAATTGAAATTTGTTGAAAATAAATAAATAAATTGTAAAAAAACATCTTCAAAGATGCAATAAATATTTAAATTGTATAAACCAATTTTAAACAATTAATAAGCAACAAAATCGAAGTGAAAAATAGACAAAATGTTATCCTTCCAAAATATTTAATAATAAAAATACTTTAAGAAAGAGATGACTTTTCAGTGTGATGTTTTTTCCCCTTTTCATCTATAACCCAATCTATTTTTCTAACAATCCCTATTTAATCATATAATATTAATTAATAAATAAATAATTTAAGTTTTATTAATGTTATGTCAATAAAAAAAATTAAAATAATTGATTGTTTGATGGATAGTTGTCCATCTATATTTTTTTTTCTATTTATAAGCGTAATTCCAAAAGGAGAAAATTGAGCGAAAAAATATAGTCAATATTTTAATAACACACCAATAAAATAGTCATTAAAACGTATATTAACATACTAATAAAAAAATTAGTTAAATATTTGATATATTTAAATAATAATAATAATAATTAAAAAATATAATATTTATAAATTGAATTTTAAATTATTTTCAAAGAGAATTGAACAAAAGTATAGGTAAACATGTATTGAAGAAAGAAATGGGGTACTGACATGGAGGCTGCATCAACTTTGGGTACGTCTGTGCACTCTGCAGGGTTTAAAGAAGATGTTCATACAAAATTCTTCATCCCTTATTGGTTGAGATGATGTAAACACTAGTCTCTCAATTTTCTCTATTCCCAAGAATGTGACACTGAGTCTCTCATTTAAGATAAACAACTACTTCAAAGCATTGCATAAGAAGTTATTAATACCAAATTTAACGAACATGATTCAAGGCAAAAAACATCATACCTCAAAATCATGCATTAGACATGAATGACGAAGGAGTTCCTTTGAAAAAAAAAAAAATACATGGTTTTGTAAAATACATGTTTGAAAGAAATTTTCCATGGTTAGGTTAATGAAGAAGCATTAGTGGATTGTGATGATAAATGTAATCAATTGTTTTGGGAAAAGCATATTCATTCCCATGGTGGCATTCATACCTCTTGATTGCATGTGGAGTGAGTGAAGTTGGGACCCGGGGATTCCAAATGATGTTTGTTCACCATGTCACTCCAATTGGAAACACTGCATTGTGCAAGTCTCTTTCTGTGTCTGTTAGCTTTCAATTTTGGAGGGTGGAGCCCTATTCTCAACCCAAAACACCAAGCAAGAGCCACCAATATAAATGGCAACTTTTCATACAACTTTCCATGTTCTAACTTTTATATCTCTTTTTATCGTTCTTCTGCATTAAAAAAACCATGGCTTTAGAAGGGGAGCCACTGGTAGTAGAGAGAAGAAAAGTTGTGAGCATATTTGTTAGGTTGTTAGACAGCAAACAGAACAATATACTTATAAAAAACTCAAAATACAAAGGTGCCTTGACTTCACTCAATCAAACCTTTACACATTCCAAATACAAGTGTTAATGCGTCCAATATAGAATTTAATAAATTAAACCATATATACTGAGTAGAATTATTGTGTAGAATCTGTATCATGTTCCTCTGAATAACTTTACATGTCATCATCACTTATGAGACAGATTTTTTCTCAGGTTTGAATTGAATTTGTTTAGTCAAAAAGTTTCGTATGCAATTTATGGTATTGAGGTTAATGGCCGTGATGATTGAAGCACATTTGTGTTATGATCGCAACTTAAGTTGAATAAAAGAAGAAAGAACACAGATGAGCATTGCCCCATAATGTAATGTAATCAAGTGATAATAATTGTAAAATGTAAAGATACTTTTTTTCGGGCAACTATCATAATTTACCAAATAAAAATATGACACAAAGTTCACCCACATGTCATCTTTCTTCCTTCCTTGGTTGATATGTGTGATGTGTATTATATTTTTTTATTTCAAATATTTTTTGAGTTAATTATTTTTTTATAAGTTACGTATTTAATATATTTTAAAATAAAATAATTTAATTTTTTAATTTATTATATTTTGTATAATTTAAGTATCAAAGCATATATTCGTATATTTATATTATATATTAGTCTTTTTTTTAAGAGATTTAAAAAAAATTAAATTAATAAAAATAAATGTCCCAATTCATAATAAACATAATGTGTCTTTTTTTTTGAAAAATTGTTCAAGTAATTTTTTATAGAATATTACAAATGAAAATTATAAATTAATTAAATTAATTATTACGATTCGATTAACTCAAATCAAGAAAGAATTTGAATTATTCTAATAAATTCTAGAATTTATACATATTTTATCTTTATTGGTTCCTGTAGATAGAAACCTGACAAGAGTAGAAAAAAATAATCTTCTTTTTCTGAAACGAGAATTACGGTTGTGTCTAATTCCTTGTTTTTTCTCTCTCTTATTTTAGTTTGGCGAATTAGTAAAGATCTACTCAACTTTTATTTGTTTTTCTTTTATTTAGTTTGTAATATCTATTAAATATTTTAGTTTTACATTGTTAAATTTACTTTATTTATTTTATGTTCAGTTTAATTTCTATTATTTAATTATTTAGAATTTTTAATTTATTTCAGTATTCACTTTATCTTATTTTTTATTTTAATTTATCAATTATTTGATTTCAATTTATTTGACTATTTTCAATTTCAATTTGTAACTTAAATTTAAATTTGTTTATTTGTCTATTTTGGATAATTTTAAATTTAATTATTAGACTATTTTATTTTAATTAAAAATAATATTTGATTCTACACTTTGTTTCGAAGAATTTCCAAATTTAATTAAAAACACTCGATTTTATTTTTATAAATTTTAACAAATTGTTTACTTTTTTTATTAGTGCGACTATTACTGGGAAAGCGTATTATCAACTACAGTCAAAAGATGCCTTCTTAATTCTAAAGCATTTAAAATTACGTATGTAGTTTTTTCTTAATTTTTTAAAAACAATAAATTAAAAAAATGCGATAACGTTCTTCCCCCGAATGCCATTTATGCATGTACGTGCACAAAAACGAAGCGTAATGTGTCTTCTTGCGTACGTAAAAACCACGACTCTTGGATTCACTGGAATTTGGATCATCAACCTCAATTCTGGTTGGACCGCGTCAACTCCACTCTCTCCTTTCAAATTTACAATATTCTACTTCTTTCTTCTCTCTCCAGAAAGTAAGATCAACAAAAAATAACACTAGAGAGGGCATGTATATTTCTCTTTCACCTTCACTTCTGGTGGTCTTATTTATTTTTCTTCAAAACATAACCATATAGTAAATGTAGCATGCGTGTCTTAGAAATATCAGAGGAACACATTTTTTGCCGAGGAATATAACTTAGCAGGGTGACGTGATTCCCAAAACAGAATGAATGAACTTTCTTTGTCTCGCTGTACCTAAAGTTTGGCCTTTCATAAACACCCATCACTACTACATCATTGCAAACATGTAAATTACTTTTCTTTTTTCTATTTAAGCTTAATTTTTTAATTAAGGTGGAAAGGGTGAAAACTGTAGGATTTGCTACATGGTAAAATTTGGTGGATTGGAAGGGAGAAACACCTGAGATGGAATAAAGGCATTTACTACTTTGTGTTCTGAAAGGTGAAGGAATAGGTAGGTAGGTAGGTAGGTACAGTGATTAAGGAGGAGAATGAGAACCATGATAATTATATATATACCCTCACAGTAATGTATATCCCATGGACACACACGTGCGATGATCTAACCAGTAACCATGGTTGATTACATTCAACCCAAATCCAAAGAAAGCATAAAATGATAGGAAAAAGAGAGGTTGTGCGATTATTTTGATTTGAATATAATAAAAAGAGGAAGACTGACAAGTAGAGCGTATACATAAGCACGCCTTGGTGCGGGTGTGGAGAATAACCCAAACCCACCCGACAGAGAAAAAGGAAAACCCCACCGTCCCCGCATCGACGCTTCCATTTGCAACACCAACAAAAAAGAAAAGCGACCAAAACCTACCCAGTGGCAGCACTGTAACAGTGTGTAGTGTGAGAGGTGTGAGTCTGGCATATATAGGGAAAGACCTAATGGGATGGCAGTGTTACCTCATTAATGCGCTTCACCTTTTTTTGACGATTCTCCTTTACGCGTCGCAGTTTTGTCACTTCTGATCCTCTCTGCCACCTTGGTCGCTTCAAACCCTACCCCCCACCCCTTTCCCTTTTTCCACCTCTCCGCCTTCTCCTCTCCACCACGCACCTCGCACCACACGCACTCATTCTTTCTCACTCTTCTTTGCCTTAAAACGTAACCGACACGGATACCGGAGAAGAACAGAATTGCATGGAGCAATGAATGTCGTTTTCCTCTCATCTCATCGCCATTTGTAAGCCAACTAACCGTGTGTTTGTGTGTGTTGTAGCTAGCTACTGTGCCCTTACCACACTAGCTACCTGCCTTTCATTCAATTCAAGATAATAAGAAAAAGGGATAATGAATGCCTGTTTTTCTCTTTTTAGGTTTCACACTCGCTTCGTAGTTTTTCTAGTTGTTGTAGTAGTCCCGTGACACTGACTTTCCCTTTCCCCCCACCCCTCTCTCTCTCCCTCTCTCGTCTTTTCCAGAATCGACGGCTATTCCTGCTTCGTTGACTCCTGGTTTCTTCACATGATGTGATGTGTATATATGACCATGACCCTTCCTTTTCTTCTCTTCTCTTCTGCAGATCTGTGATTTCTCTGTAAAAGGCCTTTTTTCTCTTTTCCTCTCCCTCTCCTCTTCCATGCCGTGACTACCCAGTATTCACTTGCAACTTCAAACCACTCGCCGTGTTCATTGTTTCATGGAACCGCATTCGGTTCGACGAATCGTCGTCGTTTTTGTAACCCTCTCCTTCTTCTCCCTCCCACTCCTTGCTGTTTCAACAGGTGCGTGTCGTTCACTCTCAATCTAAATATTGTTTTTCGAATTATCGTTAATAATTTCTTAAATTTTTTTTGTAGGTTTGGGTGGTGGGACTACTCTTAAAGGAACCATGGCGTCCATCTCATCGCGTGCTGTAGAGGAAGGGACGAAGAAGCTTCATAGCTCGCATCGCAAACTTCTTACCAGTGGTAATTGTTTTCCTTATTCTCAATCATTTTGTGGCGAATTTACTTGGTTCTTTCATTGGGAGAAAACGAGTTTGTCTTCCTCTTTTGATGTTGCCTTTTTGTCTTGTTTTCTTGAGATACATGGCTCGGAGGTATTTCTTTGTATGTTTTCGATGAAAGGGAAATGGCTGCCACAAGATTGTGTGATCTAATCATCAAAAGCCCATATAACTCCAAAATTTACCCTTTTAATTACAGCAGCACTTCTAATTTGAGCACCACAGGATCCTTTTTTTCTTATATGCTATTTGTTTTTTATTCAGTAGAAGATGAAGTACAGAAAACAAGGGAAAAAAGTATAATTCTTAACATATTTTTTATCATTATATTTCCCCTTTAATTTAAAGAAGGAAATAAGTTTCGAAATTCTCTTTGAACCTTTTTTTTTTCAAATCCAATAGGGTTGAAAATAATGCTGGCTAGCTAGCACTAGCCTTTTGAATAATTGGCTTTTCGTCCCAGTTGAACTTGAAAGTTGCTTTTGAGCTTTTGGGTATTGGTATGGTTTGGAACGATTCGCTTTGGTATGATGTTTACGTTATTTTATAAACCTGAATAATGACAGGATTTTGTCGTGGTGTGGCTTCCTGAGCAGATGTCATTTCCTATTGTTGATGTTATTTTCCGATGTACTACATACTATGTGACATAGACTGGCATTTTTTTACCGCATGATAAAAATAATATGTGCATGTGTTGGTTAATTTGAGAGAGGGAATTTGATTTGGTTTTGAAGAGAAAAGATTCGGGGTTTTGTGCAGGCAGTGGAAAGATGGAACCTAACCGAATATGGGGTGAGAAATGCAGCAAGTCTGATATAGTGATAAACCAGGGTCCCACGGCCCCACTCCCAAGTGGCATTCCCACGTACACAGTGGAGATCATGAACATGTGTGTGAGCGGATGCGACATCTCTGGCATTCACCTGAGGTGCGGCTGGTTCAGTTCTGCACGCCTCATCAACCCCAAGGTCTTCAAGCGCCTCCGATACAACGATTGCCTCGTCAATGATGGCAGACCCTTGATCAACGGTGCCACCATTTCATTCCAATATGCCAACACCTTCCTCTACCCTCTCTCCGTTTCCTCTGTCATCTGTGTCTGATCATCATGATCATCACATCATTCCTCTCTTGCACCACAAATTCATTCTTTTTCACCTGTATATACACATTTTATATACGTATGTGCGGACAACACCTTGTGCACATGATGGGTCTTTCAAATGTGATGGTCACGATTTTTTGATAGAAAGGAAATAGGCGAGGAGTGAATGTTTTAGCTTTGTATTTTGTGGTTTTGGGCATAGTTGCATGATGAGGTGATGATATACTTTAAGTCGTTTTCCCTGTTTGTGTGCATTCATTAATGGAACTGTACAAGAATCAAGTCTTAGCAGTGGCTAAAAGTCACTGCATATATTGCAATATTCAAGTAAAGCAGATCTTTTTGAACTATAGACATTATTTTTAGGGTGGGAAAGTGGAAGGAAAGGAAGGCAGGAAGCAGAAGGACTGGTCCCCCTTATTTTCTTTTCAATCTATGCTGTGCCTGTGGTTGAAGAATTGGATTATGAGGGAGGGATGTATAATGTGTGATTGATTGTGACCTCTCCTCAGGATGTCCGTGATTCGTCATTATGTCAACCACCCAAATTTGGTTCTCCTTCCTAACTGGGAACATTCATTTCATCCTGATCACGCCAAACATAAGGCCCGATAGGTCGCATCTCACCTTCTTATTTACACTTCTATTACTTTTACTCGCCCTTTCTTGGAAAACTAGGGTTAATGAATGCCTCTGGAACTTTTCATAAACAAATAAAACCGGTGAAAGTATATGCAGTTAAAATGTAATGCAGTGACAAGGGAATATAACTATTTCCCATGTTACAGAGAAATTAGTTTCACGAATACAGTAGCTAGTTTTATATACTGAGCGGTTTTTTCTGTCACAATCGTGTATATGCAATTAACTCTCTTATTGTTGTTATTTATATAAACAATATGAATTGGTTTTAAAATAAATATGGATTTGTGTTTCTAATGCGAACATTAATTTAAGGTTATTAAATAAGTAATGGTTGAAGGAATTTGATACTGTCTTTTTCTTCCTTCCTGGTGGGGGTGATGTCGTGGCGTGTTTTTGACTTCCTAATAAAGCATCTTAAGGTCATTAACATGGTAATTAATTAAGTTAATAATTTCTGTCGCAGCGTTAATTATTACAAAGAATCCAACTGAGATATTTTTCTGTTAATTTATTGATGAAAAGTTTTATATCGTTGCTTATTAAAATATTTTCATATTCAATGAGAATGTCGACACGTTATATATAGTTTTTCTTTTCTTCAAAGTACTTTTTGAGGTTTTCATGAGATAAAATATTTTTGTTTGCTTTATACGTAACAAGAACAAGTTTTAAGGAGTAGGTTTTCCTACTGTGACTCAACTTGGTTGATGAAATAAATATTTTAATAAAATCCTAAGCTAGTATTCACTTAACCCAATTTGATACTACTTATAAAGTCGAATAAAATATTTTTTTTTGATAATTTAATGAGTCATATGATATTGTGAGATTTATAATTTTATTTTCGTAAAAAAATGAAAAATTCTGACTTTTGACCTAATTTTGTTTTACATCTAAGCAAGAAATGTCTTTTTTTTTTTAAATAATGATATATTGACACCCATTATTTTTACATATATCCCTCTTATCATTTTATTTAATAATATAATCATTATAGACATAAAAGTTTAAATTTTTATTATTCATTAAAATCTTTTAACATTAAAATTTTGTATTTTATTTAATAAATCGTATTTTTAGTTTTATAACTTTTATTTTTAATTAATAAAAAAATGAGTTAAAACTCTGAAACAACGAACATGTAAAGTATGTTGTTAATTAAAATGTATGTTTAGGAGCACTGGCTTCATTAGAAGATTGTTAGGGAAGATGTTATCAACATTTCTATAATTTAAAACGGCACAGCATGAAAAGCGTTGAGAATTTAAATGTGTCGTCGTTTAATCTATTGGGCGAGCGACATGTGAAGACTGTCGTTTTGCAGCCACTACCTTCCAAATTGCAATCTTCTTTGCTCTACGTGGGGCGAAGTGGGAAGATGAAGAGAAAAAGGGAAGGCGAGGAGGGTATGGATATCGTGTGGCAGACTCCAGCGAATCCCCCGCACCCACACGATTACGTCTTTCGAAACGGTAACGTCCAATTTCGTAGATGTTCCACACATTCCAGCGACGAGGTACGAAAATTCACAACGAACATAGAACGTGCTATAATTGTTTGCTTGTTGGAATTTGTGCAGGAATACGATTTGTTAGACCATACTACTTTGAATTCATCGCTCATGTATGTTTGTTTGCTTTTTTCTTTATGAATTTTTATTAGTTTAAAATCTCTCTTCAACGTGTTGCAAAACCCCCGTTTAAACCCTATAAATGGTCAATTTGTTGTTGCAGGTTAAAAATCGGTGGGCCGGGAAAACCATTGTAGACTTATTTGCTGAGGAGTTTAAAGGTCGACCTTATGAGTATTATGTAAGGATCACGCCTACTCATTTATGTTTGATTTTGATGGTTTGTCTATTCGTAAGTTTCGGTTTTTAGTAATTATAATTTATGAAAAACCCTGAAATAGTCATTATATGTTTCATAAATTGAACTTCTATCCATTATCAGAGTATAACCTTTCATAATATTATTAATATACTCAACAAAGAGGTCACAAAGTTAGTGAAATTTGCGATGGTTACTAGATACGCATGGTACCTTGGTTAATCGTCAATAATTACTTACTACTGATTTTAGAACAAACATTTGATTTTTTATTGGACATAGCAACCAAATATATGCATAGCGTATCCATAAGAAAAGAATGGGTACCAGAGTAATGTCCTGGGATACTTATTATTATTATTGTGATTATTTAAATTTGCTGTAGATGTTTTTAACACTTTTTCGAACAAAAGCCATCACTGACTTCATACTCTTCTTGTTGACTTGAGCTCAGTGAACTCGATGTTGCCCCAGAATTTTAGTAATTGATTGTTTTTGTTTAACATTGTAGGTTAGTGCAGTGAAATGTGGAAGGATTCAAGTGGATGGTGAGATGATACCAGTTTCATACGTAGTTAAACCATCTCAAAAGATTAGCCATTTCTTACACAGGTTTGCTTTTAAACTTATGCTTTCATTCATTCTAAGGATTTGTTAAAACTTGCAACTGTTGCCACTGAGGTTTCAGGCATGAACCACCTGTGACGGCTTGTGATGTTCTTATTCTTCAAAAAGAACCAGATGTGCTAACTATTTGTAAGCCAGCATCTGTTCCTGTAAGTGTTCATTAACAAGTGGATTAGTGAAATGCCTATGTTGTAAAACTGTCTTGACTCATGTTAAGTAAAATAATGATGCAGAGATTATGCTCTGTCATGAATTAATTATACCTAAAGTTCAAGCTGTTAGGTGAAGAAACATTAAGGATTTTAGATATATTTCTAACACCCCCTTATATTAGAGCCGTTTGTGTTTGAAACGTGGATCATGCAATTTTTATAAGGAAAAAATGGAGGGGGATCCAACTCTAGAGTGCTTGGTCAAAGACATTGAAGCATGTTGGAATTATGGGATTTTAGGTATCGATAGAGGATGAGGAGAGAATATAAACAAAATACTGTGAAATTAATATGATTCATTCAAATGAAATACATTAGAATTTGATAAAACCTAGATTATGAAACCTTATTTATACTAATTAGAATAAAACAAATCCTGATAAGATGATGAAATATAGTAGCCAATCCCTTAAGATAATGAGGAATAGACACTCCACCTCAAGCTGAAACTTGCTAATCTTTAAGCTTGTTTCAAATATGCCCTCTAGAAAATAGATAAAATCAACAATATAAGTTGTAGAATAGCCGAATCAATATCATTCTTTAGGAATGATGCAAAGTAAGTTGATACTTCTAGTAAGGCCCCAAGCTGATTTATTGGGGAAGCCATGTGGCCAGCTGATACTTCTTGTAAAGTTATGGGTAAGACTGCTCAAAAATATCAATTAACTAATCCATAACCACATCACTCCAAACCACTTTAATCCATTTTAATGGATTTGTTTCATATCCAACTCCATTGTTTTGGATTTTAAATCTAATCCAATTATTTGGACGTTGGTTTGATATTTGTTTTTGTTGAAAGTCCCACATCGCCTACCTCATATCATTTGGTATGGTTTAAATACATGTTAGGCTACTCCACATATTGCCAATTGGTTTTATGTTGGAACCTTAACATGGTATCAGAGCCAAAGCCTAACATCTTTCCGGTTATTGTCATGGGCCAAAAGTTGCCCTTTAGTTGGGTCAAAAGTACCCTTTGCCTGGTCCGGCGGGCCTCGTTGGAGGGGGTGTGTTGAAAGTCCCACATCGCCTACCTCATATCATTTGGTATGATTTAAATACATGTTAGGCTACTCCACATATTGCCAATTGGTTTTATGTTGGAACCTTAACAGTTTTGATTCTTATCCAAAATCCAGTGGCACCCGAAGGCATCTTTTGGACAGTTATTAATTCGTCTTTGTCAATAACCTTTTGGCCTTTACTAGGGTATATTTTAGTCGGTCTTGGCTATGGAAGCTTTGGCTTTCTTAGTTGTGACATTTTTTGCAATTTTTTGATGGACTCGGTTGGGGTATCTTTCATCCAATATTGGTTAAGACATCTTTTAGCTAGGCTTGGTCAGAGAATCATTGGCTTGGCCAGTGCATCTTTTGGCTTGTCTCAGATAGGCATCTTTTGATCAATCTTGATCGGTGTACCATAAGCTTGACTTCTCAAGATATCTTTCAGTTTGACCTTGATTAGGACATCTTAAGTTTGCCTCAGCCAAGATATCTTCAACTCGACCTTGATTAGAGTATTTGTTGTTAAATGGAGTGCTTAAGTTAAAAGCTACAATTGATAGTCAAAACACAACTCTTTTTACTTAGGATTATAGTAACCCAAGCACTACTATTCAATTGGGACTGGTCTACTTGGCTTCTATCATGGTACTATTGATGCAACATGCAAAAATTTCCTTCTCAGCAATCGCCCATCTGGATATCAAATTTGTGACCTTGACTTTGATACCAATTATTGGATAGAGTACTTATCATTAGACCATAAGCTATAATTGATAGTTAGGGCACAACTCTTTCTACTTGAGAGTATTGCATCCCAATTCATGTTACTTGGCTCACCCAGCCTCTACCATGGGATAATTGATACAAACTATAACATCTTGAACTCAGTCTCAACTAAAGAATCTTCACTTAAACCTCAGATTATTTTCACATTGGGCATGGTTAGAGCATCTTTGTGTTGATTTTAGTCAAAACATCTTCAGCTAGGAGTTTGCCACATCATCTTTAGCTTGGGTTTGGCCATGGCGTCTTGAATTCAAATCTAATTAAGACATCTTTTCCTGGGCCTAACCAAAGCATATTCAGCTCAACCTCCACTTGGGCATATTTTGGCCAACCTCAGCCATCATATCTTTGGTTCAATTGTTAAAACTTGTTTATGGTTAAAGTCCAGTTTTGAAATTCAGTTAAGGGTTTAAAATCAGATTTAATACTAGATTGTTTTGAAACATATACCAGTTTTAACTCAATTGAAAAAATTCAAGTCAATTTTATCCCATTGAATGCATATGGATTATAAATCGAATCCATTTAATTGGATTGGATTTTTTATGTCCACCCATAGTTGTGGTGCCAGACTTCTAGACTTGAGGAGAACTGCAGGGCTATGTTGATTTGTCTGATAGTGTAGGATACGAGAGAAGATTTGAGTGTAGGTTGTGAAGGGTAAAAGACCTGAATAAGGAGCCACAAGCCTGGAAGCTGACAAACCAAGGGCTGATTTGGGATGAGGATGCCAAGACTAGTTAGGCACTATGCAAGTGATGGCAATTAGTTTGCTGTGCATATAATCATTACTTAGTAACCAAGTTCAATAATGCCACTTGCTATAATTGTGTTGCTTTGAGTTTGGCCTCCAACTACTACATGGAATCCGTATCCATGTTTTCATAGTGAAGTTATTGGACTTGCTTTTTCACCCCAAATAGTGCTATTTCACAGCTTTGAGGGCTGTGATTAGTGACAAGGACTTAAACCTTACCTTCCTCCTCCTCCCTGTTAATTAACTAGTGCATGTAATTAGTTGAGGATAAGTTCATAATTTTCTGAGGGAGAGCTTAAGCACATAGCAGGTAAGGCATCCTCCAATTGTACCATAACAGCTACAAGCTTTCTTCAGGACCTTGCCATGGTGGGAGATTTTTAGCACTACATTATGCTTAAACTTTGTAATTTGCTCAAATTTTCATTAGACATAGGTTGAAACACCAATCCACACTGAATAGTATTAAATAGATGTGCGTCTGTCTTATTCTGTCTCCTCTGGTCAATGCAAAACTGTTAATCTCATAACTCCATTGTGTTTCAGGTCAACCTGAAGAACTCCACCATTTCTTGCCATTGCACAACCCACTAACTTCTATTTTGTGTTCTTTTCCGTTCATGTTATTTGGGGTCTAATCTGTTGAGTTCAAAGAAAAGTCTTTATTCTATTCTATTTTTCCTGTTATTGGCCCCATCCCCTCAGTTCTGTTCTGGCTCTTTTTGTGTTTTGTTATACTTTTGCCCCTATTTTATGTTGGATAAATTGTTTAATTTGTATGTATCAACTTTAGTACAGTGGTCGTCCTGCTATTTGTTATCCCAGTGTAGTTGTTTAGGGGTCAGCTGCTTTGCATTACTATTTGGGATTGATAACAGTGAATATGTTCCACTATGTATGAACTACAAAAGAAGTAGAGGAGAGAAAAACAATGAGCATAGATTGGAAACAAGACAGCTAGCTTTGATGACTTAATATGGGAACTGCTAGATTGGAGGAAGGTAGTTCTGGTTGTGGTGGTCTTGCTTGATTAGTAGCTGGAAAATTTTCCAGCATCATCAGTAAGGCTAGAAAAGTTTGAAACACCCTGGAAAAGACACAATGGTGATTAGAATTCTTAGAGAAACTTGGAGTTGAAAAAAAGACTACATGATGATAAGAGAAATGATTAATTTGAAAGAAAAAGCATAATGGAAATAAAATATAATTCCAAATTTCAGATAGCATGGCAGTAGAATAGTGATGACCCTAAATAAAAAGAATTTTTGATGCCCTGACAGGATAGGTTTAGAGGGATGGTATTGCTCTGATGCCACATCACCAACCAACTATCCTAAAAGCTGATTAGATGAGGAAACAAATGGTTGTGTATTAGATTTCTTACATATCATTGTTGCCACTGTCCTCATCTTTGTTGTTTAAAAATTTTATATTTGTTTTATTCTAAATTTTTGCAAGCAATACAAATTCCTGTTTGGCACCTTCTATGGATGTGTAATTTTGAATTGGGTTTTCAATTAATGTAGCATCAGTGGAAGACGACTATAATCATAACTGTAGTGGTGTGTAAATGCAATGATAACAACTGAAGCTTTCATATCATTTAGACTATTCCTTCAGTTCTGCCAAATGAAGTCAGGAACTTTAAATGAATTTTGTATTAGATACCTAAGTAATGGTGATTACTTATTGATGATAGTTTGCTCAATATTTCATATGTGCTTAAGCTGTGAATTTAGCTGTTACGTAGGTACACCCATGTGGTCAATATCGTAAGAACACTGTTGTTGGCATTCTTCAAGCTGAGCATGGGCTGGTGCCTCTATTTCGTATCCAATGCTGCCTTTTGGAAATACATTTTATAATCATAAAAATTTCTCGAAGTTTATCCATTTTTATTTGCATTTTTTACCTTGACATGATCATCTCAGCTGTTCATCGACTGGATCGCCTTGTCTCAGGACTTCTTATTTTGGCCAGAAATGCTGCAAAAGCTGACATTTTTAGGCAACAGGTGAGTTTAGGAAGTGACGATCCTTTGTTCTTCACACTTTTGTTCTCAGAGAATATTTAATCTCTAATATTAAACATAGGTTAATCCGTTTGATTTTAAAATTCACATGGCATATCTAATGAGCAACATTGTTCATTTGGATAAGCCTTTGAGCTATCTACCTCTTTGACATCTTAAATGTAAATATTAAAGTACTTTTTTCTGATTAAATGTAGGAAGTTCCACTTTTTGTTCAATGAAAATATTGTAACTGAAAAGTACTAAAATAAAAATAAAAAATAGTTACATTCAGTTGGTATTTTACAGTATTATTTACTCATTACTATGAATTTCTAGAAGATAACTATTTGCTTTTTTTAGCACTATTTCATGATATTGACATTCTTGTAACACATAATTTATTCTGTTTTATCTACAATTACTATATCTGTAATTGAAAATTCTTATACACTAGAACTGTATGATTTGATTGTTACAGATAGAAGCTGGTTTAGTCCACAAACAGTATATAGCAAAAGTACTTGGAGAATTTCCTGAGAATGAGGTATCTTTTATGTGGTCTGGATAAGATATGCTCTACACATACGTAGTATTTATTACTCTTTGTCTCCTGTTTTGTTGGATCTTGTTGGAAGTCCCACATTGCCTACCTCATGTCATTTGATATGATTTAAATACATGTTAGGCTACTCCACATATTATTAATTGGTTTTATGTTGGAACCTTAACTTGGTATTTGAGGAGGTTGGTCCTGCTCTGCCTGTCCGGCCACCATCCGGCCATTTCCAGTCACCGGCCAGCCATTTCCGGTAACCGTCTGACCATTTTTTGGTCACCGTCCAGCCATTTTCCGGTCACCGTCCGGCCATTTTCCGGTCACCGTCCGACCACTTTCCGGTCACTTTTCGGCAACCGTCAGTCCCCTAGTCCAGTCACCTTTTTTTGCTGCTGTTCGACGACTTTCCGACCACCTTCCAGTAACCTTCCGGCTATCTTGGGTGTTCTCTTTCTTCCAGGTTCTTTCTATGGAAAGTTTGACTACAAGCCTGCTTCGTGTTCCAACTCAAAGGAAAAAATAATCAAGAACTTGTTGAATCTTCTGCTATGATTTCTACCCGTGGAAGAGGAAGTCGCGGCACTAGAGGAGGACGTGGAGGTAGAGGACGTCCTCAGTGCACTCATTGCAAGAGAATGGGTCATACAGTGGAAAATTGCTACTCTTTGCACGGTTTTCCTGACAAAACTGTCAATTTTTCCAAATCTGAAATGGTTGAACCCAAGTTCTCTCATGAAGAATATCAAGAATATTTGAGGTTGAAATCTAGTAATCTAGCACAGTCATCAACAACCCCAAATTCATCAACGGCTTGCATTTCACAATCTGTGGAAAGTCAAAATCCATGGATTATAGACTCAGGTGCTTCTGATCACATGTCTGGTAATGCCTCTTTGTTCTCTTCTCTCTCATTTCCTAAAACTCCTCATCTCATAACCTTAGCCAACGGATCTAAAGTAGCCTCTAAAGGAACTGGTCAAGTCTCCATTTCTCCGTTTTTAAACTTAAAATCTGTTCTTTTTGTTCCTTCATGTCCCTTCAGTCTCATTTCCCTAAGTCAATTAACCAAATTATTGAATTGTTCAGTAACCTTTAATGCCAACTTTTTTGTTATACAGGAACGTGGTACGGGTCGACAGATTGGCGAAGGACATGAATCTGGAGGCTTATACTACCTTGGGACTAAACCATCTAAATCTTGTGTTGCATTCTTGTCTCCAAAACTATTACACGAATGTTTAGGGCACCCTCACTTATCAAGATTAAAAAAAATGGTTCTTGAACTTCAGACTCTTCAAGATTTTGAATGTGAATCATGTCAACTAGGGAAACATACTAGGTCCTCTTTTCCTAAACGTTCTGAATCTAGATGTGACTTTGTCTTTTCTCTTGTTCATTCTGATATTTGGGGTCCTAGTCGTGTCTCATCCGTTGGCTATAGATATTTTGTTACCTTCATTGATGAGTTTTTTAGGTGTACTTGGATTTATCTAATGAAAGACCGTTTTGAATTATTACCTATTTTTAAGTCTTTCCTTAACGAAATCAAAAATCAATTTGGAAAAGTAATCAAAGTTTTACGAAGTGATAATGCCAAAGAATATTTTTCTACTGATTTCTCCACTTTCTTAAGTTCCCAAGGCATTTTACACCAGTCTACTTGTCCTCACACACCACAACAAAATGGTATAGCAGAACGAAAAAATAGACATTTGGTTGAAACTGCTCGTATCTTATTACTTGGTGGAATGTTTGTTCATCATTGGGGAGATGCTATTCTTACTGCATGTTTTCTCATTAACAGAATGTCATCTTCTTCTCTTAACAATAAAGTTCCACACTCTATTCTATTGCCAAAGGAGCCACTCTTTCATGTTTCTCCTCGTGTATTTGGTTGCGTATGTTTTGTTCATGATATGTCTCCAGGTTTAGATAAACTATCAGCTAGAGCTATCAAATGTGTCTTCTTGGGATATTCTCGTCTTCAAAAAGGATATTGATGTTATTCTCCTAAAACCAAGAGGTACTACATGTCTGCTAATGTCACTTTTTTTGAGTCAACTCCCTTCTTCCCTTCTTCTATGTAGGATATTAGTTCGGTCCAAAATGTCCTACCTATACCCTTAGTGGAGCCATTTGTACTTCCACACAAAATACACCGTAATCCTCATCATTGCCTCTTATTACCTATCAACACAGGAGCCAAATGATCAGTCTCATGTCCCAAGATGAGTCTTTCTCAGCAGATCCTTCTCAATCATCCCCTGATACCACGATTCCTGATAATGATGACTCAAGTTGGTCCATTGTCATTCGCAAAGGTACTCGCTTTACTCGTAATCCACATCCCATTTACAATTTTCTTAGCTACCATAGATTGTCTCCTTCCTATTTTTCTTTTGTTTCTTCTGTATCCACTATTAATATTCCAAAAAATGTGAAAGAGGCACTTGATCATCCTGGATGGCGACAAGCCATGATTGATGAAATGCATGCTCTTGAGTACAATGGTACATGGAACTTAATTCCTCTTCCACCTGGGAAGAAGACTGTTGGTTGTAGTTGGGTCTATGCTATTAAAGTTGGACCAAAAGGTGAAGTTGATCAACTCAAAGCTAGATTAGTAGTGAAAGGCTACACTCAGATCTATGGCCTTGACTACAATTATACTTTTTCTCGTGTGGCCAAAATGACTACTGTTAGACTTTTCTTTGCTATGGCAGCTATCCATCATTGGCCTCTTCATCAGTTAGATATCAAGAATGCGTTCTTGCATGGTGATCTTGAGGAGGAAATTTATATGGAGCAACCACCTGGTTTTGTTGCTCAGGGGGAGTCTAGTTTGGTTTGTAAGTTACATCGTTCTCTCTATGGTCTCAAACAATCTCCATGTGATTGGTTTGGAAAGTTTAGTCACATTGTTCAAAGTTTTGGATTTAAACGAAGTGAAGCAGATCATTCTGTTTTTTATTATATTGCTTCAGGAAAATGTGTTTATTTAATTATATATGTAGATGATATAGTCATTACAGGGGATGATGTTGATAAAAATTTTCTGCTAAAGAAACATTTATGCAATCACTTTCAAACTAAGGATCTTGGTTGTCTCAAATACTTTCTAGGGATTGAAGTGACTCAATCAAAAGAAGGCATCGTAGTCTCCCAAAGAAAGTATGTTTTAGATATCCTGAAAGCAGGCATGATTGATTGTAGACCAGTAAACAGCCCTATGGATCCAAATCAGAAATTAATGGCCGATCAGGGTGAACCGCTCTCGATCCCGAGAGATATAGAAGACTTGTTGGGAAACTCATTTATCTCACCATTACCGGACTCGACCTATCTTTTGCCGTTGGAGTTGTGAGTCAATTTATGCAAAATCCGCGTATCGATCATTGGAATGCGTGTCGTTCACATCCTAAAATATCTCAAAAAGCTCCAGGACAAGGTCCGTTGTATGAAGATAAAGGGGGTACCCAAATATCCGGGTATTGTGATGCCGATTGGCTGGATCCCCTATGGACGAGACGCTCCACTACAGGATATTGTATTCTCATTGGAGGCAATATTATTTCTTGGAAAAGTAAGAAACAAAATGTAGTGGCCCGGTCTAGTGCTGAAGTTGAATTTAGAACAATGGCATCTCTCACTTGTGAACTAGTGTGGGTGAAACAATTACTTCAAGAACTGAAATGTTGTGAGATCCAACAGATGAAGATGTATTGTGACAATCAAGCAGCTCTTCACATTGCCTCTAATCCGGTGTTCCATGAAAGGACCAAACATATAGAACTTGATTGTCATTTTATTCGTGAAAAATTGTTCTCTAAAGAAATTTGCACTGAATTTGTCGGGTCCAATAATCAACTTGCAGATGTGTTGACAAAGTCTTTAAGAAGACCTCGAATTGAATTTATTTGTTCCAAGCTTGGCACATACAATTTGTATGCTCCAGCTTGAGGGGGAGTGTTAGAATTATTATTAGTTAGTGGTTAGTAGTTGGTGGTTTGTGGTTGTTAGTAGTTGGTGGTTGTTGTTTTAAATGTTGTAATCCTATATATATATATATATGAGATCATAGAGTGGAGTAAGAATCCCACCAAAATTAGAAATCTTCTTTTCACTCTCTTTACTTTCTTAACATGGTATCAGAGTCAAAGCCTAACATCTTTCCGGTTGTTGTCTTGGGCCAAAAGTTGCCCTTTCGTTGGGTCAAAAAGTACCCTTTGCCTACCTCATGTCATTTGATATGGTTTAAATACATGTTAGGTTATTCCACATATTGCCAATTGGTTTTATGTTAGAACCTTAACATGATATCAGGGCCAAAGCCTAACATCTTTCCGGTTGTTGTCTTGGGCCAAAAGTTGCCCTTTCGTTGGGTCAAAAAGTACCCTTTGCCTGGTCCGACAGGCTTCGTTGAAGGAGGCGTGTTGGAAGTCCCACATTGCCTACCTCATGTCATTTGATATGGTTTAAATACATGTTAGCTACTCTATATATTGTCAATTGGTTTTATGTTGGAACCTTACCAGACCTTGAAGGGCTTGGCTAGGAATTAAAATTTCATTAAACTTATTGTTATTTCCTAATACATTCCTCGTCTTGCATATTAATTATATTCTCTCTCATCTCATTTTCTTTTTATCTCACTTCATAATAATGGTTAAGGATATAATAAGAATAAAATATATTTAATGCTTCATTGTTATTATAAAATGATTATTAAAATGGAACGATTCTTTTATTTTTGCTAAAATGTCAGATAAAATGAAACATAGGTAGTATGTTGAAGAAAACCCTGCAACTGTTTCATATATGATAAAATTAATGTAACATAGTTTAGTGTTATTAGAGGGTGAACCTTGTGGCTGCTCTCTCATGACCTGGAGGTCACGGATTCAATTCCCGATAACAGACTCTCCGTATGGATAAGACTAAAATTTGACTATTCTCCCCAAAACTTCCCCTAGTCAGAGCCTTGTGGACTGGGATGTTCTTTTTATAGTATGGTATCATTAGGGTTATTTACTGACTATCTTTTCTTGGACAACCCGAAGAATTAGAGTGACATCTGCAGAACATGATGAAAAGTCTCCTCTTTCTAGTCAGTCAGTATTTGGAATGGTAGATTCATAATCAGAAACTAAAGGAAAAGTAATTAAAAGCTAGAGTTTAGCTTATCTACATAAGTGATTAACAAAATTTGCACATTTTTGTATGTGGTACTTCATTTGACTTTAAGATATTGTGGGATTGTCAGATTTTGTTCCTGCCTTTTGGGTTTCTGACATTGTTTTGCGAATTGCAATTCAATAAAAATTTTCAATAAAGAAAAAACTATATAATTTAATGGGATCCAAGTATTTTCACAACAGTTTCAGAAAGATAAATAAAATGAGCTGGGAATATTAGTTTGCAATCAATTTAGAAGAACTTTCTCAGCTCTGCCCATAAATGTTTAAAAACATCACAAATGGTATTAAACATGGAGTGACATGATACAGGTGTATCATGGTTCATGTTCCCTAACAAGGTCTGCTCATAAATATAACAATGATTTATTTGCTACTTATCCAAGTTTCTCACACCTGTTTACATGGAGTAAGTAGTTACTTTGTGAATGCGTTGGAAAATAACCATCTTATCTGATGAAACTGAGGAAGCACTTTATCTTCTGATTAGATCTTGTTTTAGAGAAAATAATAACTGATCACATCCGGGATGTGTCTAGCCATGGGTCTAAATTGAAAACCTCTGTTTGAGATGCATTACTTACCCACTTATGAAAAGCTTTGGTCACTGGAGCGTGACAGTTTTATATAAGGATGTGGCTAAATAATGCAGGTAGTAACATGCAGTTTAGTATTTGAAGTAGCAACGGTTTGTTTAGCAAAGTTAATGTGAAATTAGGAAACTCAGCCGATATTGCTGTTCATTATAAGATTACCGTTGGTTGAAATTGCTAGTTACCATTTTTCCACCTTGTGATTGGCTATGCTTTTATTTTTGAAACATACTTGGTTTGAGTTTAAGAATTGTTAAAAGTTATTTTTGTAAATCTGAAAACAAGCAATTCCAATCGGGTCATGGTTAGCAACTAAAACTTCAGTCTTAGATGTCTTGTCATTTTTGTTTGAGTGAACTTTCCTTAGCCTAATATATTGATTTCAGCTATAAATAAATATGTTCGACTCTGTCAGTTAAAATAGTGATACTTTTCTAATTTGACTAAATTTTACTTTTTAGATAACTGTTGATGCCAATATTGACTATAATGCACGGGAAGGAAGGAGCACAGCAGAGGTGAGGCCTTTGGATCCTACATGCATTTTTGTTATTGAATTTTTAGGTGGATTTTTTTTTTTCATTCAGTTGATATTTTTCATTAATAATTATAAAAATGTCACTTTGTTGTCAAGATGTTTCCTATTTTCAAGAATTTGCCAAGGGAAAATAACGAATCCTTGTAGGAATAAAGTTCTATATTTATAATTATAATATTAATGTCTTGAAGGAAAAACACTTTTATGATGTAGCTATTTTTAGCTACTTTTCTAGCTTCTGGTATAAATGCTAAACAACCTTTTTTTAATGGTTTAGCATTTCTTTTTTCTAAAATATAGTCTATTGTTTTGAAACTTTTCTTGCATAATTTATAATTCAGTTTTCTTAGAAAAATCATTTTTTTTTCTCTATAACCTTCATCCAGTTGATTAACTAGTATGTAGGACTGATGTAGAAGCCTACCTTCAAGTTCGTGAGTACATTCTTAAGACAAAAATATCAGCCATGGAATCAGTCAAAATTTGTGCTCATTTAACTCATGTTAAGCAACTAATTTAGAAAACTCTGCTATTCAAATTTTAAAGTTCTGCTGAAATAAATTGTCAGCTACCTTTTAATATCTTTTCCTGTAGTTTCACTTACCTTTGGATGGCAAGCCCTGACACAACGGTAAAATTGCACTTTGGTAATTTGTTGGCATGGGCTCAAATCTGGAAGTAATATTTGCATATGCGAGGGGAAGGCCTTGTACAATGACCCTCCTATTTTTTGTGTAGCGAGGAGCCTTTTGGAACTGGAGTACCCTAAGCTTTTTTAAGAACAACATTGCTTTTGTCACAGTTCAAAATATATATCCCAGAATCGGAGCAATATTTTACAGAAATTGAAGTCCAAGGCAACAATATATACATTCCAATTCAACAAAGTTAACATAATAAAAGATGCAAATTGAACAAACACCATGGGTTCTTTTGTCTTGGTAAATGATCTGATGTGTAAAACTGAGACTATACGACTGCCGAAACAAACTATTGGTGATTATATTGATTATTCCTATGTTATAATGTTTCAGTAGTGGCTAACATTGTCGGAAGAATAGTGATGTTGAGGTATTGGTTCTTGTTAAGTGGAAAGACAAGAAGTATCTCATGAATCAATATTATAAAGTATATATCTGAACGAATATATCTTTCTTAATGAAGGTCAGAGACTCTGCAAAGGGGAAGGTTGCCTCTACAAAATTTACTCGGATTAGTACTAATGGAACTCAAAGTATCGTTTTATGTGAACCTATTACTGGTCGAACTCATCAGGTACGAAAATTATGGCTGATTTAGATTGCTTGTTTCTTATTAAAAAATTCAGCTGCATATTTGAATATTCTTTTGTCTGACGAAGATGATTCCTTTGATCTTTATATCATCCTATTTATGTCTGATATTTGGTTTACAAATTGCTCTCTTGTGTAAATCTCCCTATAGAAAAAAACATTCTATTACCAATCTATCTTCAATGTGTTGCTTTTCGAGGCTTAGATATCTCATTACATGGATTTTAATACAATAATAACACGTGCATGCATGGAAATGATGTGTCACAATAGTCAGTGACAACATATTCTAAAGCAGGCCTCTTGCCAGCCATTCTATTACTGTAGAGGCAAATGTTTGATTGTCATTGTTTCTGTGCAACTGATGGTATACAGGAGATGAGATTAACACGAAATATGCAGTTGGAAATATTAATTCAACTATGACGGAAGACATCCTACATTTTGTCTTTGTTCAATTCATAATAATTTTTATATGGTGCTGATAGAATGCTCACCTCTGGTGTAGATACGTGTTCATTTACAGTATTCGGGACACCCAATAGCCAATGACATGCTGTACATCTCAGACCAAACTGTTGATCGATCTGTTAAAGGGTTGAGTGCTGATGGATCAGCCCGCATATCTGATGTTTCTCTGACATCAAAATTTGATGAATTGCTCAATGAATGCGAAGAAAATTCCAATGGAGATTTTAGCATTGACCCCATGTGTACTAATTGTCCAAATTTGGCACCCATAGGGTAAGAAACCCATTATCTTCGAAAAAAATATTTGCTGCTTTTGTATATTGTAAATTGTAAAAGACCAAGATACATAGGTGACTTGAAGAAAGTTAAGAGTAAATTTTGTCGTATTCAAGCGTTATGTGTAGTTGTCTAAACTCTAAAGTAGAATGGGCACCATAATAATTTGGTTTTGAGGGTATATTTTCTCGTAGTCAAGCCTTTTCAGTATTACATCGCAGGTGAGCATAATTAGAGAAAAATAGAACATACCATTATGATTTAATGCTGCATAAAAATATAACGGGTTTTACAGTTTATCTGCTGTGATCTCAGGATATGAGGATATTTGAATTAGGTTAAATATTTATTGAACTAAGTAGGAGCTTAAAGTTTCTGACGGTTGTTCATCTATGCTTATGTTTTTTGTAGCAAAGGGCTCTTTCTGCATGAATATGACGAAGATGCCATTGTTGTTCTAAATATTTATTTATTGTCTTTTTGGTGCAAATTCATTGACCATTTTGAGACGTGTTAGTTAAACTACAGTTTCAATGTTTATACTTCTGATTTTGGTTTTGTTTTGTGATTTTTTTTTGTACTTGTAAAATATGGAAACATATCAGTTTTTTTATTTGTTCTATAACAAGCGTCAGGTGACTTGAAACTTGTAATTCTGAGGATTCTTTTCTGCCAATCCTTGATTTAAATCTCAGATAGCTTGACCACTAAGTTTGCTTTTGTCGAGGTTTTTTAATTGCAGATATGATGGTGATGAAGAAGGTCTATGGCTACATTGTATTCGTTACTCTGGACCTGGATGGACGTATGAGTGTCCATATCCTGATTGGGCGAAACTTAGCTAGACAACTTGATTTATTTTTCATCGTACATTTCAAACAAATATACAACGGTTTGTTTATGTGAGTTTTAATCTTTTTGTTCGGTAGTAGAAAGCTATTTAATCTTTTGCTATTATTCAGGGACAATGGTTTGGGATGATAAATTATTGTTACTACTGTTTCACGTAGAAAAATCAAAATATGTATTCTTTTTTTAAGATAACTAAATATTTTTATTGTGCGTATGTACTTTACCTTTTTGAACAAGATATTTCTTGTAATACCAGGATGCTTTGCATTTACGGGCATTTTGAGTGGAACACAGAATCCAGAGTAATGTTGTAATAACAACTGTCTGGAGTGTAAAGAATTGATCAGTTTCGAGAATTGAGTAGTGTTTTACTGTTCGTATTCTCCTTTATTTGCGTTTGGGAAAATTGTCGTTACCTTCTTTGATTGCTAGTATATAATGTCTTTCTGAAAAATGTATGCAGCAATAGGTGTAACAATTCTTCAACAAGCTTTGATTGCTTTGAAATTTGATTGCATTATTATTACCTCTATTATGGTTAATGTTTGTTTTTGAATTGTCAAATTTTTTAATTAGTACAATAATGTTAGTTTCTCTTAATATAAAACCCTCAACTCTTTGCCTTTTTTCCACAAACAATCGATTGTTTATTAAAAAATGGGATATGTAATGCTCTGAACGATTCAAGAGTTGGAAATTATATGACCAGGGTTTCAGAGGAGAAACTTTGGGAATATTTAGCTTCTGGTAAAATAATTTTTGTTTGATTAATTGGTGACGATTGTATTCGAATTAAGTTTATATTCTCTGTATATATGAGCATGTGAAAAATAAGATTGATTTATTAGTTTCAGCTGAATCAAAGGATTGTGAATTTGTAGGAAAATTGTCTACGAATTCCACTAATTTTATTTGTTAAAGCAGCGTTTTATGTTGTAGCTTGTATTAATACTTTCAATATCTGTCTGAAAATTAAATTGTTGAAACTTTTAAATTCAGGTCAAGATGGATATTTAAAAGTTGCGTGTAGATAATTTGTAAGATTAATCGTTGACAATAAAACTCAGAAGTGATAGTTGATAATGATAATAATAATAATAATAATAATAATAATAATAATAATAATAATAATAATAATAATAATAATAATAATAATAATAATAAAAGTAATAAATAAAAGTAGAGACTATGACTTCCTGGGTTTTTTTTTATTGACTACTAAAAATAGAATTTAAAATTTAGAGAATAAAAAAAATACAATCCTTTAGTTTACTATATTTTGTTGATTGTTGATCTGAAAATTGTTAAAACTTGATTTTGATTGAAATCACATGGGCCATGCTACATATAGACAAGTAGTTGAAAGTCTTAGCCGTGATAAATAAAACTTGAATTCATTTCCACTTTCAGACAACAAGTCCAAAGTCCTTGCATTCATTCATATTGTCTATTGAGTCGCCACAATTCGACAAATTGACAACTGTTAGAGTTTGCAACAGATGAGCAAAAACGACGTTTGCATATTCAATACAAAATGTTTACTGAAGAAAGAAACAAATGCATGAGCAGATATGGTTGAGACCGATTTGTGGTTACAAGATACTTTTATTTGGGGTGTTGATATTTGTACTGTAACTCCAAATAAATTCACATTAGTGCGTTGTGTTCAAATCTACAATATCTTGCTTGATAAGATAGCATGTGCATCGCGTGGATATCTGAAATTAACAAGGTTGCATTAATTTTTATAAATAATGAAACATGCGTTCACTTTTAATTTAAAGTAGATTAAATTACAAAGACACCATTATCTCTAATTCCTTTGAACTTTACACATGGTTAAATAAATACAAGAACTTGATTAAGACTTGGATGATACTCAACACACGTCCAATTGGTTCCCCAACAAAATTATTATGAACACAAATCTCCATCGTTGAAGTGTCAGAAAATGAGTTGAACAGAACCCATAAATCTCCTTTCACCGTAACTGTGTACGGCACAAGACAAAAAAGTAGGAAGAATAGTAAGATATGATAGAGTTAAAGTATGATGTAATCTTGGCCCGCCCCAAAGTTTATGCATGACACATGGTACAACGCTACTCCTTCAAAAATCAAATCAATCACCAAAATCATATATATGAAGGACACCATTATGCTGCAATCATTGGCACCAAGTCGAGGTTAGCCACTAAAACATTAAAAAGGAGAAAAATGTAATGAACATCGATGTTTCGATGCATTTTAATTTGATTGACGTATGTGAATAGAAAGAGATAAAGCATTAGAAGAAGACGTGTTTGATAGATGACATAGACGGTAGGGGCATGGTTTAAGGAGCTTTAAAGTCTTCCAAAACAAGTGGTTCGTTACATCACCCTTATCTCTCTCTCTCTCTCTCCCTCTCTTTCTCTGTTTGTAGTAGGATTGTGCACACACCTACCCATGAATGCATGTTTTTGTTTGGTGCATGGCATGAAGGTTATCTACAACTTTTAAGAATCACCTTGCCTCATTCATTTGCGTAATGCCCTAGAATGCTTATCTTCAGACGCATGAGTCACTATTATTTGCATTGTTGTTGTTGTTATTATTATTATTATTCTCTTTGTGTGGCCCATCAACTCTTTGGTTTGGCTAGTGCTTTCTTCGTATTATTAATCTTACATTTTCCTCTGCCTAACGTTTCTTTTTGATCGAGTTTATCCACACTCAAAACTTCAATATATTGTGAGACATTTGGAACAAACTCCTTCATATTTTTTTTCATATCTTGTTCAGAACGCGACATCTTACTAAAAGCAGACACAGATGAACCGCACCATCATATGCGATCAATCATTTTTCCACGGAATCAATTTTTATGGAGAGATAGAGAGAAAGAACCAAAAAAATCCAATTTGTCTTCTACTGTCCACCTACAAATCAAGTATGAATACATTCTATGTTGTTTTCAAGATCTTGAATAATTATTTCTTCATTATTTGCGAAATTCTTTATAAATTAAGAAAAAATAATTAAAAAGGGGTTTGAACATATAAACCAAATTCTTTAACTTTGGGATGATGATCACTATACCTACCCTATACGTGGTGGGTGTATATAAATCCTATGCTTTTTAGTCATTGATATTATTGGCAAGATCATGTTTCCTCTGGGAGGATTGATATGTATAAAAGAGTTCAATAATTGGCTACATTTATTTAGGTTATAATTACAACATGATGATGGGTTTGGTCAATTGTGTAAATGCACCTAATTAACCTAGGAAACACCTTCCAAAGTGCTTAGTTCATTATTCATTTATAATAACGCCTAAAATAGAGTCTGAAAGAGTTTTTTTTTTCAAAGTTAAAATAAAATAATTGATCTATGATTGTCGAAGAAAATTGAAACGAATGAGAAAAATATATAATAGAATTGTCGAAAGTGAATTAGCTCCATCTTCCATAGGTTGGAGATTAATTGAATCGACAAAAGTAACCCAAATCAATCATTAAAAAAATAAATAAACTTGCACACCCCAGTTGAATATATATGATGACCTGAATTAACTTTACGCATCTTAATCCTTTTATAAAAAAAATCAACAATTTTACCTAAATTTAATCATGTTCCACATCAACTAAAGTTTAGGATTATGCTCATCAAGCAGCCATTTTCACTGTGCTGTAAAGCGTTAGAAAAAGGGAAATTTGTGATTTGATCATTAGAACTTGACACTTTTTGTTTGTTTGCTTAAATTGTATTTTTTTTTTATCTATTTATATATATAAGGCTAGATAATTCATTTAACTTAGAAAAATATTTTGGATAATAAGGATTTTAGATTTCTTCGTACTCGTTAGTTTTCTTTATGGTGGGGTTTAAATGTGTGGTTATAGGTTTTTTGTAATCATTTAAATTTCTTATAGTTTGGAAGTTTACAGTTCTATATGTAGGATTTTAGGTCAAAAACTCTCCATTAAATGATATTATTTTTGAAGTAATTGTGAATATATTTTGTGGCTATTCGGTAATGTTACATCTTAATCTTAAATAGTGAATCACGATCATCGTTTTAGTTTCGTGTGATTAATTAGTAGTATTAATCACATGATCGAGATGTAATATAACATCAAACTTACCATGGATTATGTTAATTTTTTTTCTTATAAAAAAAGAGTGGAATTAGATTAATCCCGTTTTCGCTTAACATATGTTATGAAGCCATCAAAATAAATCGAATTGACCGGTTTTCAAAAGTCTAAAAATTGGAAAATTCTTTCATAGTTGGGAAAGGGTGTAAAACACCAAGGAAATTCCATTATTTAAATATGTGCAGATGAAATGGCACAAGTTTATATAAAAGTTTAATCAACAACTATTCCACTGATAATAATAAACTGATAAAAGATATCAGGTTTTAGCTAAAAGTAAATAGGTCAACCTTGACCCAACCAATAAGATGAGACAAAGAAAATAATCTCTTGTTATTCTTTTTTTTTTTCTTCTAAAATGCTTGGAAATAGAAATTAAAAAAAGTGTCAATTTCAACCCATTTGACAACTGTAACTTTTTTGTCACTTTGGAAAAATGAAAATAATGACAGTTAGTGTTAGCCAAAAGTTAATGTTAATAATTATATTGGTGTTTGTACTTGATGGTTTGGAACCAAAAAGAAGTGGGAAATGGAAGAGGCTTTTTGTTTCACCTTGAAATAAAAATTAGAATTAGCCAACCAATGCTATTAATTTTTTTTTTCAAAACTAAATAATCAGTGTTGACAAGATTGAAGCAAGTATCAAAGTACCATGTCATGTGTCTAGATTTATCTGATGATAATATAGAAACAAAAACAAGGGTTTGAAAATAAAATGAAGGAAATGAGAAAGAAAGAAATAATATATTTTGCAAAGGACATGTCCTCTAGAACATACTTGACTCTTTTTTTCTTTTTCTTTTTTTCCTTGTTGGCAATACATATATCTAGGAGTTGAAATTTTGACCAAACATATGGAAAGTAATAAATAATAACAATCCTCAAAATTTGGCTTTCTAATTCTCATCAGGTTTACAACTTCAAATAATTGGACATTGATTTTTATCTAACACTTTTCCTTTTGATGAATAGAATGTTTAACAACTCCAAAATGGCATGTTACAATCGTAGTGTCGGGTCTTTTTAGCAATGATTGTTGATTAGCTTCCGTCACCAAGATATAAATTTTTTACCTTTCGGGTTGTCTTTATATCTGTTCCCTTCACCATGACATCATAAAACAAGAGAAGACCCCATTAATCCACTATCTACAATGCATAATTTAGCCATGATTTTCAAATAACTATATAAAATTTAACAGTACGATAACCATGATTGTAGCATATGAAAATAAAGAAAAGTGTGGCAAATAGTCATAGATTTCATAACAAGTAAAATAATCAATTCCCGTCACATGAACATAGATTACGCGTACAATGAAAGAGAGAATTTGATGAGTTTGACTGAGGTACACACCGAAAGAAGAGAATTCATACACTACTATGCTACACGTTTTACTACAGTGAGAGTGATGGAAGAAGAGGCCAAAGAGACAACATTCATGCTAGCTAACATAACTCACCACCTAACAAAGGAAGAACCCTAAACACCAAACTACACCTACTGTCGTTCCTGCGTTCAGATGAGGCCCACTTGGCAAAGTAAATATTGTGATCACATCTTCTTTTCCTTTCTCTTTGGACTTGTTCATTGCTTGGTTCATCACACATTGCTACCTGTCTCAGTCACAGCACCACTTTTCGTGACCTGATTCGGCTCAGAGGGTGGTGCCATTGTGCCCAACTTCACCACGTCAATAATATGACCATTCAGTTCCTGTAACTTGGTTGGCTCCTCCAATGTCTTCGGCTTGGCCTTTCTATAAATCAAATACAGCACCATCTGAATTATCCCGAACAGAAATCCAAGCGTATTTGGGAGCTGCATCATTCAAATGCAACTGTTAAATCATTTTTTTAATGGAAGTGGTTCTTTTAGGTAGGTCAGATCAAATTTTAAGGAATAAAATTAATTTTTCCTAGCATATATATAAACATATAAGCCTTTTGTAATTAAATAATAATATAATAGGGACCCATGTTTCCCTTTGACTCTGCCTTTTTTTCATGGGAGCCCAACACTAATGGAGTGAGCAAACATTTAACTAAATTGGCTTTTCACTAAATTATACAGACATAACCCAAAGTTAGGAGATCTACCTACAAATATATGTATACCAAAGTAGAGATAAAGGAAAAGATAGACAAAGATTTAATGGTCCATAACATGTTCCTAGCCGAACGTATATCAGTATTGAATTGTACTTACAGCGATGTAGTAGTCCTTGAGAAGAAGGCCATAGAAGAACCACATCACGGCATTTACGGTCAGAAAGAAGGACAGACTGAACGGCATGAATTCTACGCTCTTCGTTTTTATCACACGTTTCTGCATGCATAGATTATGAGAATTTAATTTCTCTTTGAGAGAATGTATATGAAAAAACTGAATAGTGTTAAAGATTAAGTAACAGTAATAGCCAAAGCCAAATGTATATCAGAAAGAAAAGAAGTAATAGTCATTGGCGGAAAGTGAAAAATCTTAGAAAAAGAAGCACTATAAAAAGTTTTCTCTCTCTCTCTCTCTCTATATATATATAATCATTTACTTTTATGATTTAAATAGTAGGCTTCTGAATTATTACCAGAATGCAGAGAGGAGCAGCAAATACACTTATGTTGAAAACAAGGCAAATCCATCCAATTACAGTAAGACGTTTGGATCCTGTTGTAAAGTAGAGGGTTGAAAGAAGCATCGCTCCAAACCCAAAAACATTCAACAGCAGAAGAAGCTTGATGGTCGAAAGCTGTGACATTTGACAGAAGAAAATCTGATTAATCATTTATTCTTCAAGAAAAAAGGAAAAGAAAGAATGGGTAGAATATAAAGTTATCAGAAGAAATACCCTGCTTTTACTTGGGGCGTATACTAGGAAGATGACAAGGTAAGTTGTCTCTATCACACATCCAAAGGAGTTAATGGTAATGAGAAGGAGAGTAGCATCCTTCTTGACGAGTGCGTAATAAATCCAGAGCATCGAACTAAACAGTGCAACAACATAAGGCAGTGATTGAAATCCTTCAGCAGTTTTCTTCTTGTAGATTTGGTAAAACGTTGGTCTGCATTGGAGTATAATTAATATGTAGTTAGAAAAACCTTGAGGACGAGTATGCTGAAGTAGAAAAAAAAAAAAATTCACTTACAATGGAGCGAGGAACACCATAAAGGAGATGACGTTGCCTGTAACAAGAAACAAGAAACATCCATCAGCATGGTGACCAAATAGGAGTTAATTACAACCATGATTGTTATTATTTTTACCAACATGGTTTAATTGATTTCCTCTGCAAAATTTGAGTTCACACCATATAAACTTAATTATGCATGTTATAAATATACATGCTGGTACTGGATAAACATGCCGATTAGTGTTGCATTCAAGTGTCAAATATTAATCATTTTTGGAAAACTAGAAAAATGGCATGCAATTAATCTGCATGACACATGTGGTTCCAGTTTTCATCATATCATCTGAGAAACTACGAAAAATACTTGTAAATAGTAAAAAACTAACGTAAACTTTACGTATTTGCGATCACACAACAAGTACAGACAGTTTGGATCAAACTTGCATAACCAGAAGAGAAAGGAGAATAAGTGAATGTAAAAAATGGTGAAAAATAAGAATACCTAGAAGGCCAAAAACGAAAGCCCAGGTTTCATGGTGAATGGCCATTATAGTGACGTGTGGTGAATGAACTCTCTTCCCTCACTCACTGAGTGGTAGGACTGTATGAAACCGAGAAGCCTCGATTGAGGTTATCTCTTTCTCTCTTTGGAGTGCACGAGTGGTTAAGGGAAGAGTGGGAAGGTATTTATAGCAGGGAAAAGAGAAGTAAGAGAAGTAAGAGAAGAGGAGTGGCATGCAATGCAAGTGGCTAACTAAAGAGGAATGTGCAGTAAGGTGGTATTGTATGGTAATATTTATTGTAGCTTTAATTTCGTTATGAGTACTTTCCAGTTGTTCCACCACCCAGCCACTATTTACTTTAACCCAAATCAAATCCAAAACACTACTTCTCTTATTACCCTATAATCACCTATTTTGGTTTAAGTCTCTTCCTCTTGGGTTAACTCCAGTTGGTGAATGCTCAATATTGCTGTGGGGTTCACAAACAATCTTTATTCTTTATGACGTATCACCCACCATGTGGCTTTAAGCCTTCCAACTCATCACAGTTTCTGGGGCAAGCGGGGTGAAACTTGCCGCACTAAATTATTAATTACTTTGCCCAAATTCTAACATCACTTTCTATTTCAATCCCTCACCCTATTCTTTTACTATATTTTAACAAATAATAAATACTCAAATCCTCCATATTATAGATAAGATATAATATATAAATAAATATAATCATAATCCCATTTTATATAATTGAATTAAGTATTTTTTTTTTCATTTTCTAAGAGATATCAAATTCAATTCTAAGAGATATTATTTGGGATTAAATCATCTTTATAGAATTATTATTTTTATTTTTCAAATTTTTAAAACTAAAATATTTTATCTTTGACTTCCAAATGAAAGATACCCATCCCTTAATCACCACGAAAATAAAAAATAAAAAAATCTCTAGCGGCGATATATATACGAGCGATAGAAATGGAAGCCAAAAGTTTTACAGTAACTGGTGTATGAGATGTTAAAAGTTTAAGCAGTAAAAGTCTCACTTATCACCGGAAAGATTCATGACTTTTAGTGGCAATTTTTACTGCCATTTTTAATGGCCAGGAAAAGTAAATTTTAATTACCTTCTCACTTATGTGAAATCAAATATGTCACAGAATTCATCCAGATGAATTGATTAAAAAAAATCAAGATTTTGAAAATATTTAATACAACACGATTGATTTATTAAAACTAAAAATATATAAAGATAAAACATTTATCATTTTCTCTTTATTATAAATTTAAATTTATTATTATGGATAAAAATTGATTTGTACTGTATCAATTAGACTTAAGTCTTATGACATATTTCGTTTTGAACTTTTTATGTGAATAATGTTTTACTTTTAGGATTTAATTTATATAAAATAATATTTTTAATAATTATATTATTATTATTATTATTATTATTATTATTATTATTATTATTATTATTATTATTATTTTAAAACTGGTTCACTACAAGTCAATTATGAATTAACTATTAAATTTTAAACTATTTTTTACTCTAAAACCGATCCATTCCATTTTAAAAATATTAGGACCGCCCGAAAGCATTTGCTGACAAATTACATAACACAAACAGATTATATAAACTTTTAATTTTAAAACTCTTTTATGGTTTATTAAATTTCAAACTAGTGTTTTAACTATAGTTGAGTGTCTAGTTCTATTTTAAAAACGTTGATCATCACCAGAAAAAAATCGCTCACAAATATAAAAGAATATAAATAATATAATAAAACACTTTTAACCACAAATTTAAAATATTTCGAATGTGATTATATTAATAGACCTGTTGTTGGAATATAAAAATTTTTTGATATGGATAATTTGTTTTGTTATGTTGAAAATTCTTATCATAATAAGGCATTAAGTCTAAATATAATTAATATTAATTCTAATATCGTAATCCATCCAAATAATATTAAGGATACTTAGATAAAACTATATTTAAATTCTAAAACAGACAATGTTTGAAATGGATTGATCTTAAACAATGTTATGTTAAGCAATTAGAAATTAACACAATGAATTTTTTTTTTTTTAAATGTCAATATTTGATCTGAATTATGTTTTGAAAACAAGGAATATGGGAAATTCCAACGTATATTTGATTTGAAAACTATTGATAATATCATAGCATATTAAACGGAAACATTCTCTTGATACTCTTATGAGAGCAATATAAAAATGTACAGAAAGAAATATTCCATTGCAAAAGATAGAATCTCCAAGAGGTGTGACTCTGCACATAGAATTTACACACAGAGGTTGATGTTATAATAAAACATGACATGGATCCACCTTCTGAGGAAAGAGTTAATAACAGCTTTCAAAGTAGCATCAATTTGCTTGAAACCCTAGTTTTGAGCTAGTTGTTTTCTGTACTTAGCACTTTCAGCTACTTGTATTGGAATTGTTACAGCATGTATGACAGTAACTTTATATCAAAATGCCTTTAACGCCTTAACCTTTTCCGTATAAGCCCATCACTATTAACATTAAAAATATATCTGTGCCAGAATAAAATTAATTAACTATTTAAAATGCATCCATTGCTGGTATCATTCATGTTCAGGCCTCCTACAAATTATTTAAATATATCACCCAATGCTAAATTTCTTTAATATCTCAAAGGGTGCTTTTGTGTGAATCTATTATATTCAATCCTTTCATGAAAAACTATCAAGGAAAAGAAATGTGTCATGCATATATTGCAAATTAATAAACAACCATTTTCACCGTACATAAACATGTTATCACCATCTTCTCCTTACAAACTTAATGTGAGACCCCTTACACCATTTTAAATTAATCTACAGATACACACAGATTTCTAGAAATTTTTGAATTCTATATTTTATACCTTGTTTTATTCTCTCATTATTTTTATCTTTCTTTTTCTGCGTTTCTTGGACATGCACATAGCTCGAGCTTTATAGCACGACGGTGCCCTTTTCTTTTCAACTGTCGACGGTGAAGGGAAGGAATCAAATTGAATTCAAGGAATCCAGGTATAAAAAACAGTTTATGTTGGTGGATATGTTGCCAAAAAAGTATTGTAATTAATATTCACCTCACAATGAGGTATGAAAGTTGAGTTTATAATAAAAATTACTTATTTCATTAACTTACTTTTAGTACACATCAATTCTGGAGAACGTCCTCTCAGGGAGCAACAACTACACACAAAAAATATATAAAAATATATATATATATATATATATATATATATATATATATATATATATATATATATATATATATATATATATATATATATATATATATATATAAGAATCAATGCTTAATGAGTTTGCACAACGTTACAATTCAATAAACTATTGGTTTAGAAGAAACTATACAAAAATTTAGACAACATTAAGCCATTTGATTATTATTTTTTTATAATGAACAAATGAAATATACATACACTATTAATTAATTTTAAGTGCATGATGATCATTTTAACCCAAAATAAAATTAAGGTTGTTCGGTAAAGGGAGAGTGAAATACTAATAGCAAGTGTTTCTCTAAAGTTTGAAAACAAAAAAAAATGGATTTAAAAATAAACTAATTAAATAAGCAAAAATTGTGTTGAGTATTTAAAAAAAAAAACGTAATATATAGACTTCTTGTTGAAATCTCCTTAAAGATGTAAATGGTGGGTTGAAATCTCTCCCAAAAAAGTATGTTAAAATTTTACATCAATTAGAAATATCATCGGGCTATATATATTTTAAAAAATATATCAAAGTTAATTATAACGATAACAAAAAATACAATGATTTTATAAAATTGGATTAGATGTTTTTTTAAAATAATTTTTTAATAGAGACTAATAAATAGTTTTATTATATTATAAAAGTGGTAAAGTTCCATTAAAATAGTTGTCTCTAAAGTGAACTTTGGTGTACTCCTAAGGGCTAAGTGAATATAGATATTATGCCTAAAAACATTCCCTTTACCATATAAATGTTATGGCTGTAACCTGTGTCAGTGTCACCATATTTGATTGAATTTGTTTAGTCAATAATTCAACTTCACTTTCAACTCTGGTTGGTTGCCTTTCATCTACAGTATTTCAAGGCAAATGATTTGCATTGCTCTTAAGAATACGTCTTTAGTCCTCAAATTATTTGACACTTTTTTAACGGATTCTCAAACCTATTAAGTGCAGTATATACTTTAAAAAAAAATTTAAAGAAGTGCCTAAATTGTTTGAAATTTTTTTAAATGAATAAAAATAGTTTATAAATTGTGAAAAGAACATTTACATTTGAGTTAGTTAAGGACTTGATTTATAACTAAAAGTATATTACATTAGACATCCCATTAAGAAGCTTAAGTAAAAGACTGTCTAAAGTTTTTTTCACACAGATAATAACAAAAATAATAATGAATAATCTTACTATATCTTAATGAATGCATTATTTCAACCAACTAAATACAAAAAATTATCATTGAAAAAAAAATAAAAATAAACATAAATAAATTTGTACTTTTTGAAACTAAAATTGCAGTGATATTTAAGATGAAGGAAATATGTTGGAGTTAGCTTGATGAATAAGAAATGGTCATGGGATCCCGGGTGCTACCTTTCCCCATTCGTATTAATTTTTGTTCATTTTGTTTTGATTTTTTTTTTTCTCACAAAAGGTTTTTGAATATATAGTCTGGCCTCAACTACCTTGGGAGGGCAAGTTGAGGCGAAAAAAACAAATTTTGAAAGCCAAATTTGTCGACCTGCACTGCATAATGCAGCCTAAGATGCATGAAACTCAACATCATATAGTCATACAGAGACTCAACGCACTTTCTCCCGTTTCATAATCTTTTTGCATGATTAAATGAAGAGAAGTTTGAGCTTTGAATCAGTGAATTTGGCAATCGCACTAGATACATAGTTAGGTATAGGTAGCTATAGGGGGAGCTTTTTCGATGCGTAATCGCATTGGAGCTTCGGATCTTAACTAGTTTGGCATAAAGCTACGACCAAATGA